ATCAGAAAATTTTTTCTCCATCTTTCAGATTTTTTCCTTTTGTGCAGGCTTAATTTGGAGCAGGGATGGGCTCTTCCTGCTTGAAGCTTTGTGGCTACCAGTGTAGCAACTCTAATAGGAAGAGAGTCTCATTTTCCCAGTCATTGTAGGACAATGCTAGACTGTCTCATTGACGTGGCTTGGGCTAGGTGCATATCTCTGAACCTGATTAGACAGATCTCAGTTATTAGTGAGGCCGCCACAAGTGTTTGTGCAGGTTATTCACTGCAAAGAGAACAAGCAGGAGCTGAGGTCCAGTGCAGGGCACACCATGTTTTTGCCTCGTGCAGAACTATATCTGCTGGAGAGGGTGCATTTTTCTAATTCACACTGTGACACTACAGTGGTTTTAGTCAAGTGCTCACCATGGAGCAAAGGTGGGATAGGGTTATCCCCACATAAACCAAATGGTCTGAGGGTGGGAAAAGGACAGCGGGGTGCCTTTGGCAAAAGACAGTAAAAGGGATGTTGAGTAGGCAAAAAAACAGCTATCCACTTCATTCCTTTAAAACATAGAAAGGCAAGGTCATAGAGTAGAGAAAACTTGGACTTGGCATCAGAAGGACTGGGTTCTAATTCTGGTTGTGGAAGCCATGGGAAATTGGGCATATCACTTAACCAACTCCCACAGAGTTTGTTTCCTTTCTTGAAAAATAGAATTATTTTTCTGCCTCCCCCACACACTCATTGAAAGGGAAAATGAGATAATAAATGAGAATATGGTTTGAAAATTGTAAGTTTCTTACATCTGGAAGGTATTATGATTATTTATTACATTTTTCCAGTCAGTATCTTGCCCAGTGCCCTTACACATTGAAGGTTCCCATTAGGTATTTATTAATTGCCTGATCCATGATATGGAAACTCACGTCACTCTGGGTCCTTTTCCAAAACTTTGTACAAGCAAAATGTTTTGGTGAAATATTCATTCAACATTAAAATTCAACGACACTAGGAACATGCAGAGCAAGCTATCTTCTGACCTCATCATTCAGATCTCAATTTAAGTATTACTTCCTCAGGGGAAACTTCATGGTTCATCCCCAGTCCCCCAATCAGGGCAGGGCCTCCAACCTGTTTCACAACACTTAACACAATTCTAGTTTAATGGTTACTTGTGAAATTCTTGTTTAATGCCTGTCTCCATCATTGGCCATGAACTCCATTGTGCAGGCACCATGGCTGTATTGTTTGATGTTGCATCCTGTTGTGCATGGTACATAGTAGGAAATTAAGAAACGTTTGTTCAATGAATGAGTAAATTCATGAGATTAAGTGGAACAAGGTCAAGTGGACTAGGAAACATACATCTAATTTCCCCTTTCTGTTCTCCTAATTTTTAAAAAAATATTTACTTATTTATTTATTTAGCTGTGTCGGATCTTAGTTGCATGCGGGCTCAGTAGTTGCAGTACATGGGCTTAGTTACCCCACCCGTGGAATGTGGGATCTTAGTTCCCTGACCAGGGATCGAACCCACGTCCCCTGCATTGGAAGGCAGATTCTTAACCACTGGACCACCAGGGAAGCCCCTCTCCTAATATTTTTTTTCCAAGCCCTCCAGGGACCACGTCCTCATGACTTACGGAACTGCTGCTAAGTAGAGAAAGAATGGGTAGTTGACTAAGCATGTCCCTTTAAGGACACACAATCAATGACTATTCAGAAATAAAATCCATTCACTCTGACCTATGCAAGCTACGTCTCAAAAATTCAGAATAAATGTATTACGGCAAAAAAAAAAATGTATTACGGCAATTACAAGATGTGTAATCATTAATTTACTCTAGAATAATAGTTCTAAATTTTATACCTGTGTATGTCCTAGTATGTCCTAATGCTTCTCTCTGCCTCAAAACTGTGACAGAACTAGGCAGTTCATTCCTGGAAGCATATGCATTACTCCCGGCCACAAATTTGATTACAGTGGTTCAGAGCAGGGAAGGAGACTTCAGAGACAAATTATTCCTTCTTACCCGCCTCCACCCTAAATTTCATTTACATAATGCAGTTCTTAGTATAAATGAAATGAGTCAGCATTGGGGAAGACAAACTGAAACGTGACTTCCATACCAAAGGCAACTTTTCTTTCTGTCAGTCTTAGTGAGTAAATGATCTTCCAAGTAATAGAATTTTTGAAAAATAGAGGTCAGCATGCAGTTAGGTCATAAATATCTATGTGCAGAATTTTTTTTAACTTTTAATTTTGGTAAAATACACATAACAAAAAATTTACCATTTTAACCATTTTTAAGTACGGTTCAGTGGTGTTAAGTATATTCACATTATTCTGCACCCATTCCCCAGGCCTATACTCATCAACAACTCCCCTTCCCCCACTGCCCCCATCCCCTAGCAACCATCATTCTACTTTCTGTCTGTACGAATTTGACTTCTCTAAGCACCTCATCAAGTTTCCAGAATCATACAGTATTTGTCTTTTTGTGAAAAGTGTCCCCTCCCTCAAAGCCCCAGTGCAGGCCAGGCCTTTTACTTGAAAGGGCTTGGAGTGGGAGGTCCAGGGTCTGCTCTTTCACTCTGCTCCCACTCCAACAACCTGGAAGGAGGTGGGAGGCACATTCTGGTTCTGAGATTCTCTGCATCACTCCCCTCTTTTCAAGGCTTAATTCCAATTGAGAGCTGAACTAGGCTGTAGACAAGGCAGTGGCCTTCTACGTAATTGGCTGGGTGATGGGAAGTCCTCTCTTCTTGGGTTGGCATGGTGCCTGGGGCCATGTTTTTAGCACCAGCCTGATCCTCCAAGGATCCCTTGAAGAGAGGCAGCCATAGCTCCCTTTGGCCCTTCGAGCTCTGTCTGTCTCCATATCGTCTCCAGGAGGGGTGACTTTACTTGCCCAGTGGCCCCAGAGGCAACTCCCGGCTCCTGCCCCCCACCAACCTCTGAGATCCTTCTTATGAGACTGATAATGATAATGATCTTTTCTAGGCCCCAAAGGCTGAGGGGGACTGCAGTGAGGTATCCCCATCCTTTCCTCAGCTACTGCACATCACTGGTCCTTCTCATCTACTGGGCTAGGTTGCTCCAGAAACCTCCAAGTAGTTTGATATGATTTCAGATCCACTTGTTTATGACTAAAGTGAAGTTGTTTTAATCCACTTGTTTATGGCAAAGGCAAAAAAAAGCTGTTTTTAGAAATAAAGTTGTTTCGGGCTTCCCTGGTGGCGCAGTGGTTTAGAATCCACCTGCCAATGCAGGGGACACGGGTTTGAGCCCTGGTCCGGGAAGATCCCACATGCTGTGGAGCAGCTAAGCCTGTGGGCCACAACTACTGAGCCTACGGTCTAGAGACCACGAGCCACAACTACAGAGCCTGCGTGCCTAGAGCCTGTGCTCCGCAACAAGAGAAGCCACTGGAGTGGGAAGCCTGTGCACCGCAACAAAGAGTAGCCCTGGCTCGCCGCCATTAAAGAAAGTCCACGCACAGCAACAAAGACCCAACGCAGCCATAAATAAATAAATAAATTTAAGAATCTTTCTTTAAAAAAAAAAAAGGAAAGAAATAAAGTTGTTTTGCTATAAGAATGAAGTAAGTTGTGTCAAGATGTCATTATCTCATCTGTTGTCATCGATAAGCACCCAGCAGCTCAACTGCTGAGGGGCCCCACTGGGGGCTTATCAATAAAAACAGACTAAGAAGCAACTGTGGTGAGGAGTTTGTGAGGACTATCCGAGAGTTTTGAACTGGGCAAGGTGACTCTTTGCTGACCTAACAGCTCTCTGAAGACCCCTGGAGCATAAGCTTCTGCTGGTAAAAGTGACTCTTTTACCAGCACTGGCGAAAGCTGTGCAGGGACCCAGCAAAGATCATATTGCACCTCAACACCAGGCTTCATTCCCTAACAACATACTCTAGCAACAGGGGACTTTCCACTTTCGTTTAGCTGGCAGCTGGACATCAACTTGTGGTTGGCTAAGCCAAGTCTCCTGAGAACCAACCGCATAGGAAAGATACACCTCAACTGAATTTGGACTTTCTCTTATCTCCCCTTGCCTGGAACAATAGTGTAAGCAATCTATCATCTGGAGTATGTTATTTCTTTACTGGCTTATTAAGAGACATATCCAGTATGCTATTGGCTTGTGAAATTATAATTCCCACAGTGAACCTATAGTAAATAAAATATTAGCAAAGACAGTCTCAGTCTCTGAGCATAATTTGGCCCAAAACAAAACACATCTCTATCTCTATGTTCATCTCTGTCTCTATTTGTATATCTCTCCCTGAATAGATATGCAAGAAACTGGTAACAGTGATTGCTTAAAGTAGGGAGTTAGGAGTCAGTGAGAGGTTTACTTTTCACCATATACACTTTTATATTGTTTGAATGATATTTTTTGAGGGATATATATATATGAAGGTAATGAATTCAAAAGAGCTTTATAAATCATACAGCATCGTACAAATATGAGGGTTTTACTGTTACTAGTATCTACCAGCAACAAGATCTCAAGCATGAGTCTTTGTGAAAAAGTTGAATGACTTAATTAGTACTACGTATGTTAGAATGAGTCCTTTAAATTAATTTATTTAAGTCACTCTTTGAAATATTTAATGACGTTGGCAAATACTCAAGGTGAGTGGAAAAAATACAAAAATTGCACAGGTGTCTGATTCCAATTTTGTGTATTCCCTGTGTAAACATACATATATTAAAACAGACCGTAAGGAACCATCCACAGTGCTTTGACGGGGAGAGGGGAGGCATGAAGTGTTAATTTTCTTAACTATATTTTTCGATATAACCCACATTTTCTACAACAAATTAACAAATACTATTTGGAAAGAAAAAATCACAAACCTTCAAACTTGGCCAGAAATGAATTTTTTAAAATTTCGTGAGATTGATTTGTTGCAAGACGGAAGGAGACAGGCAAGCAGCCACGAGTAGTGCTAAGGGAAGCATGGAACCCTCCTTCCAGGTCCGGAAGTCCATTAAGAACTACAAGGAGAGGCGAGAGAGATGTTGGCCTCCACTACGGCTAGAGCGACCGTGAGAAGACACAGGAACTTCCGGGGCGGAGTTCTCTGGTGTTTTCATTTCCGTGGGGGAATGTGGGCAGCTGGCGCCGTGAAAGTTAGTGGTTGCTTGGCTGCCTTTTCCGTCACTTTGAGACGGTGCTTGAAATTGGGAGCGGCAATGGCAAAGAGCAAGTTCGAGTACGTGCGGGACTTCGAGGCTGACGACACATGCCTTGCCCACTGCTGGGTGGTGGTGCGGCTGGACGGCAGGAATTTCCATCGGTGAGCGAGCTGGGCTCAGGGCTGCGTGGTTCGCCAGTGCTTCCAGAGAATGCGACGCATTTGTCGCAGCCCCGAGCTCATGGTTACCGGGGTAACTCGGCAGCCAGTGAGCGCGCGGCACTGAGCATCACTCTGCGTGCTGGCTACAACCGGCTTGAACGCGAGCTGGGTGGGGTAAATGAGACACGGTGCTCCCCTAGTGAGGAGCTGGCTTGGGGTGTCCGTTAGCAAGACTGTGGTGGAAAAAGTCACTCTCGGGCCCATTATTTCAGCTCTTCAACAAATTGACGAACTATTTTGGTAGGTATCTTTGAGGGCTGACTGTTTTGCGGTCCTTTCTGGCCTTGCTGTGGGCACCACTGTAGAGTATGTTGTTTCATTATAAGTAGCAGAACACATGGACTGGATTCAGGAGGGAAAAAGTCAGAAAAAAAGAAAAGTGTAGCAGGAAGATGGGAATTTAAGTCTTAAAAGTGTTTTTAGTAATGATTATTGTAGTTAACATTTATTGAGCACTTCCAAGGAGCCAGGCATAGTTATATTTATCTCCCTCTCATCTTCAGGAGAATCCTATGAAGTAACTTTATCCCCATTTCACTGAAAAGGGAATGGAGGCTTAGTATTTATGTTACTTTTTCTCAGTTGGTTAGAGCAAGAAAAACTAGAGTTCTTAACGAAATGGATCAGGTTGTGGCTACTGGAATGTCTGGACTCACAGCACACTCACAGCACTCTTTGAATAGCTTCTTTGATCTGTGGTATTAATGATAAGCCCTCTTCCACCCATACCCTTTTCCCTCTTCTTTTTCCCTTATGAAGGTTTGCTGAGAAGCACAACTTTGCAAAACCTAATGACAGCCGTGCTCTCCATCTAATGACTAAATGTGCCCAAACCGTGATGGAAGAACTGGAGGATATTGTGATTGCATATGGGCAGAGTGATGAGTACAGCTTTGTGTTCAAGCGGAAAAGTAATTGGTTTAAAAGAAGAGCCAGGTAGTTTTGTGGCCTAGCTCCTTCAGAATACTTCCTACCAGCATTTGGCTTCTGCTTATCTTAATCACAAACTTACAGACTGTAGTAGTTGCAACTGCACAATGTATGTATATAACAGGTTAGACTGTTGTACTTCCATCTGATACCTGAGCATTCTGTATACCTCTTTAAGTTTTTCTCTGTATTCGCCATCACCTTAGCTTCTAGACTGATCGGGCATTGAACGTTAAGACTAGAAAGAGAAACTAAAGTTTTAGTTAAGGAGGATCTCAGTACAAATTAGACAGATCTGATATTTGATTTGGCAGTATATTGAAACTCTCACAGGAAACAGATCATGTAGTGAATTGGGATGTTTTTAAAACAGTGGTTCCCCTCCTTCCAAGACTTGAAAAAAAACCTCTTGAACCATAAGTTCACGTCACATGCTATGGAAGAACATTTGACATTAGTAAATTACTTATAGGACTAGAAGGAGAGACAGGCTGCATTTTAAATATATAACTGAAATACTAAAATAGTTTTTCTTGACCCATCACTCTTGGCTTGCTAGACAGTTTGTGTTATCTCTCTGTTACACCCACAGACCCTGTCATGGTGTTGAATTAATATCATGTATTTTCTCTTTTCTTGCTCCACCCACTGTGCCTTTTGCAAGTAAGTTTATGACTCACGTGGTCTCCCAGTTCGCCTCCAGCTATGTGTTTTACTGGCGGGATTACTTTGAGGACCAGCCCCTTCTGTATCCCCCAGGCTTTGATGGAAGAGTCGTGGTGTATCCTAGCAACCAGACCTTAAAGGACTATCTCAGCTGGCGGCAAGCAGATTGTAAGTGAAACCAAATAAACAGATGTAGTTAAACTACTGATTCCTTATATTAGAGGTGATGATCTGATACATTTTTGGCCCATGTATTTTGTTTGGAATGCAGTATTTCAAGTTTTTTAAATTAGTTGAAAATACTTGAAAAATTGGAAGGTTTTATGTAAATACTACCTATTTCCAACTTTTTTTGTTTTTTGGAAAAATCAGATCTGGCAATACTAGGTCTATATTCCCACTTAGTATTGGTCAGAACCTGCGTAGTGACTACTGCCTTTATACACACAGACACACACACACATAAACACACACACGCAGGCACACATTCATGCACATAGGAGCCAGTGTGCCTCAGCCTCTACCATTCCCTGTTGTTCCCCTGGGAACTCTGCTTTACACGCCTATGTTTGTGCTGGCTTCAGTGGGTATTCAAGTTGTGACCCTTCCTTACATGACTATGGTGAAATGTTTGTTAGACTCTTATTCATTTGGTATGTCTTGATTTTGCCAGGAGAACTGGAAGAGAGGTGGGAATAATGTAAACCAAATAACTTGGAAAGTATTCCTTAGCTTAATGCACAAGTTAACAGATTTGTGTAAAGCACAACTGAAATGACAGGATAAAACTGTTAGGAAATAAGTTTTTTCTGCTTGACCACTTCCCCCTGTGTTCCCTGTGTATGGCTTTGCGCAAGTAATTATATGTCTCTGCGGGAGAGAGGTGGGGTTCCAGTACTCTTTGAAGGGTGAATATTGAATAAAGATTCTATGTGCATACACAATGCCAACTATGTTTTCTTTACAGGTCACATCAATAATCTTTATAATACAGTTTTCTGGGCACTTGTACAGCAGTCTGGATTAACACCAATCCAAGCCCAAGAGAGATTACAGGTATAAAGATCTTACTGCATTAATACTTAAGGGGGGACAGTTTACGCTCTCTCATGACATTTGGCCTTCTTTTTAAGCTCTTAAATTTTTATGGTTTTGTTTTGAAAAGATAGAAAGATCATACTAGTAGCAGGTCTGCTGCTTGCTTGCTTTGTGACTGTGGATCAGTTGTTACTACTCCCTGAGCCTCAGTGTCCTCAGCTGGAAAATGGAATTAATGGCTCTGCACTCCCACATGGTAGTGCTTAGCTGGAGCTGTGTATAGGCTGCCGCCTATAAAGGGCACATGCTCTTCTTTTTTTGTCAGCCCCACCTGGCTGCTTCATGATTGTCAATCCCTGCTGGGGACCTGGAGTTTCTTGGGGTTAGGACTCCTGTGTATCATTAAGAGTTTAGGCTCTGGGGGTCAAATAATTGTACTCAGAGGCCTTTGTTTAATTTTATCATCTCTGCCTTAGTTTTTAATAGGTAAAATGTAGAAGATAGTAGTTCCTACCTCATAGGTTTCTGGTGAGAATTAAATGGCGTGATGCATGTAAAACACATAAAGGCTAGTACAGGGCACACTGTAAGTACTTAATAAATACTGGCTTGTATCATTAGATGACCATGCTACTTGTAGGAAAACTAACCGTGAAATGAGATGATGTGTTGTATTAGCTCCTAATACAATGCCTGGGACGTTAAAATGACGCAGTAAATGGTTGTCATTATTAACAATCATGATAAAGTTGCATATGTAGCAGTAATAGGATGACTGGTAGATCTAGCCAGAGTTTGGAAGTATTGAGATCAGATTTTGATTCTTATACGAATAAGAGCACTTTTGGCCTCGGAAAATTTATATAATCTTTCTAAGCTTCAGAGCTCTCATCTCTAAAATGGAGATGGTTATGAGGGTCAAATAATACAAAAGCTATCTAGTACAGAATCGGTACTCTTACTATTAGTTCCTCTCACCCCATCACAGTAGTGACTTGTAAAGGCAGTTATTTGCTACAAAAGAGAATTTTATGAATTTTGATATTTAAATAAGATTTGAACTGCTTTTAAGATGAAAATTCATTAACACCTATATGACGTTTGATGAAATGCTTCCACTTCTTGATATGTTGTGGAAGTTTAGGTAGAGAGTGGAATGGATAGGTGGGGTTAGGGAAGAGAAAAGACCTACAAAGCTTTTTATGTGTGTTTTTATTTCTTCAGGGAACTCTTACAGCAGACAAGAATGAGATTTTATTTTCTGAATTCAACATCAACTACAATAATGAGCCACTGATGTATAGGAAGGGAACTGTGTTGATATGGCAGAAGGTAATGCTGTTATGTCTGAGGAAAAACGGAGGTCAGAAGGAAAGCCTGTGCCCATCCCAGGCTTTGTCTTGCCTGCTGCCTGTATGCTGATGTGACTCCAGTCACTAGCACAAATTAGACCCTTTCCAAAATGAGATGCTATAGATTATTATTATGGATGCTCGTTTTGTCAGTTTGTCAGTGAACATTGTGATCTGGACTCCCCCGTTCTGTAAGTAGAATCACAGAATTTTAGAATTATTACACTTTTCCATGTCATAAGCTCTCCCCAAATCTGATCAAACCCCTTTAAACAGGTAAGTGCAGATATGAGAATTTTTGCATTCAGAGAACATTTAAAAAAATAATTTCTCCCACACTGGATAATTCCATTAAATGGTCCATCCATCCCATGAGAACTGTAATATAAGGAACTGATGTTGCATGTGAGGGTTCTGTCCCTTGCAGAATGTTTGAGGGCTTCCCTAGACATTCATACTTAACTTAATATTCTGTCTGTGCATTCACCTGTATCCTTAATTCTACCAATATTTTTGCTCTGTTCCAGCTCCTGGGCATAATGAAGTCTCTAAATTTATTTCCTTCTGTCTAAAGTATTTTTTTCTGAAATGAATGTTTTCAAGTATTAAGGGGTATTAGGTATCCCAGTGGCAGCTTCAGCTCTTTTATTAGTATTTTTAAAACATTTGTTTGGCACAGACTCGGATCCTTCTTAATGCAGGTGGGAGAGCAGAAATGTCTTTAATTTTATGGTTATTGCTAACAAGGAACATAGAATCCCTTCTTTGTTCCTAAGGTCTCCTTTCAAAATACAGCAACATAACTTTTTTAAAAAGTATTTTAGTTGTAAAGAAATTCATGTATGGTGAGAGATATACATATATCTCTGATATATATATATATGTATATATATGTTCATATATATATATATATATGCCTGAAAATACGTATTTGTCAGAAGTATATAAAGTAAAAAAGTAAACTTCCCCCACTTCTCCCTCTTCTCTCCCAAACCGACTCTCTAGTTAATGTGTCAATATTTTAACTTTACCTATAGGTGGATGAAGTCACGACAAAAGAAGTTAGGCTGCCAGCAGAAATGGAAGGAAGAAAGATGGTGGTGACCCGGACCAGGACTAAGGCGGTGCCCTTACACTGCGATGTCATTGGGGATGCTTTCTGGAAGGAACATCCAGAAATCCTACATGAAGACAGCTGACCCTTTGCTTTTCATTACTGGTGTGCTTGACCATGCAGGGTCCCCCAAGTCTCCTGGCCTTAGGTGGCCCTAGCATCTGTGCCATGCAGAACAGTGTCCTGGGAGTGACATGACTGGTTGGGAGGGGAACAGAGAAAGAAGGGATGAATGTGGGTGGTGTATCTTGTTCTGCTTTAAGTGGAACACCTATTTTTTGGTGTTGAAACATGGTTCCTTTGGTAGAAGTACAGTTTTTTAAAAATCATGGTACTATTTTTATAAAGCAAGAACTATTTTATGCCTTGCAAAATGAATCATTTTTAGATTGTGGCGTAAGCCTTATAAAAACTTGTCAAGCTCTTTTCACCTATGATAGAAGATGAGCCCAAACTTTACTCTCACCCACTTATTCTTAACCACAGAATCCAGTGACCTTGGTCACCTTGCCCACCTATCTACTTGCATTCATCTTTGGCAGACCTGGAGTTAATATGGGTTGATGCCTGCCTGATGCCTCTGAATTCAGGAATTCCAGGGCAAACTCAGGGCTTTGTGCCAATCTCCAGATTGGCAACTTGAGCTGAACAAATGAGTTGTAGTTTGGATGTCCTTGTGTAAACATTCCCTAGATTGATTTTGTGGAGTTGGCAGCCTGATCATCATGATCATCTTGCCAGGGGCAATGATTACAAGGCCACTTAACCTCTTTCTAAGAAGAAAGAGAATTACCTGTTTATGTGGGAGAAAGAAAACAGCGAGAATGAATGAACGAGGAGGAAGAAACATTTACTCTCTGTCCTCTAGACACTTCAGTTTTGAAAGTCACCTTCCTGTGGACTTCCTGAAAAAGATTCTCAGGTAGCCTCTGGATAATCGGAACAGTGACATTTGAGTTGGAGAACAGAGGGACCAACCCTCATCTTGGGGTCACAGGTAGCAGGTGGCAGAGGAGTCCTAATAGTTCTGCCTGCCGACGGGCCAGTGGAATTGGGCGAGGAGCAGCAGGAACTGCGTGTCGCCAAGCCGTTGGCCTCTGAAGGGGGGAGGTAGTGGGGGTAGGTGGTCGAGAACTCATGTCTCCTCTTGTCCTCACTTCATGTTGTAGAGGAAGAAGATTAATTTGGCTCTATAAAGAATTAACTAAGAGATAGCCCACATCCCAGTGCCTGGTCTTGCATTGTAGAATTTACAGCCAAGAAGAAAATGTATTTTTGAAAGGGCAACGGCTGGTCTCATCCCTCACCAATTGACACCCCATCTGTCAATGCCTTTTTTTCCCTTCCTGTTCTCTTCGCTTCGTGCGAATAGGAGACATGGCTCATGTTTGGTAATTGATAAGATTTCTTTGAGAGAAAAAAATAAAGCTTTCAACTCCCTTGGCCTAATTTTTCATTTGTTTTTTTTCATAGAAACGCAGTATGAGTCCAACTTTCATGTGTGTGTGTCTTTACATAAGCCAGGCTCACATCCCTTCATCACAGTGGTGGTTCACAGACTTCTGAATGCAACAAGTTTACTTGAAATACTCATTTAAAATGCCAGTTCTAAGCTTTCCCCATGAAGATTTTGGGGTTCAAAGGCTTTTGGTGGATAATGGTCGATGTACCACACTTTGTGTAACAAGGCCCAAATATGATATACCTAGGCTAGTACACTGTGATAGGCCAAGTAAGGCAATAAGAATGTAGCTCTTGATTGGCAAATTTAACTTACTTGTCAGTAAATTATAGCATTTTATATCAAAACAAATATAAGGTATTAGTACAAATTTTTAAGACAACTACCCACGGAAGTTTTGTGTTTTCTGTGGGTGCTATGTGATACCACAAAGGCTATCACTTGATTTTGTTACAAGACGGGGATGTGCACTTGCTCGTTGAATTGCCAGCAGTTTGCAGGTTTGACGTTTGTGTTGGGGCAGGGGTTTTGAGCAAAGGAATGACCCGGGTTTACCTATTGAGTTATGTAGTGCTATCAGAAGCATTGTTGGTAGTTTTTATGTTATCTTTTTTATTTTGCATCATGTATTCTAAAGTATACTTCACAGCTGTATATTTTCATCCTGCTCTCTAAGAGAATAGTATTCTCTGCGGCTTCCTTTCCAGGTCTTAAGGAAACTTTAAAATATGCACAAAAGCAACTAGTATAGAATTAATACCAGTTGATAGCAGTTTGGGAGAGTGGTGACAGGAAAGTGATTTGTGTGGCCTGTAGGTGACTGGAAACACCTTGGCTCTGCTGGATGAGGGGGTAATATCTGAGCCTTTGGTGTAGAGTAGACTATTATTTTAATATCAAAAAACAAAAAATATTCCGCTGAACAGAGGCTCCAAAGTACAACCAGGTTTTGAAAATCTTGTTATCTTGTCCTCCAATCGCGGCATCTTCATTTCCTCCAGGTGCTAAGCAATGCTTACAAGATCAGTGATAGTGAATTTGCCTTAATACTAGCGTCTTTTCTGGTGTATGCGTAAATTTCTTTTTGCAGAGGGTGTAGGAAATGCAGTACCAGGGTCCACCCATCATCCTTCAGTTTCATTGTACACTTAACCAATATTAGTTAACATTCACAGAGCATTTATTATGCGCTGTATATGCAGTATCTCTTCATTCTTTGGACAATTCTGTGAGGTAGGCAACCATTTCTACATCTCAGATGAGAATGTAAAGAGCCAGAGAAGCTAAATAGTTGGAGCCCACCTAGGCTAAACCCCAGTGGTACTCGGCATGAGAGCAAACTAGGGCATTCCTTGCCCTCTTTCCCACTGCTTCCCGCCAGCGCAAGCTAGGAGTAGAGCGCAGTTCCAGAGAGCAGAGAAACACCTGGGGAGCTTGTTAAGATGCCGGGCCCGGGCTCCACCCCTAGGGAATCCGCACCACTAGGAAACACCCAAAGTGATAATGATATAGATGGGGGAAACACTGCGTTAGAGCAAATTAACCTCTTCCCCGAACGCGGATGCGCTGCGAGGACCGGGCGGGTCGCAGCCGCTCGCCACACCCCCGGAGACGCAGAGCGCGGGCAGATGCTGCCCCCTGGCGGCCAGGCCGGCGCAGTGAGACCCGCGTCGCGGCTGCGCAGTGCCGCCCTCTGGCGGCCCCCTCTCCTTCCCATCGGCCTCAGCTTGCGGGCCTTTCAAACATGGAGGAGCGGGAGAGGGGGGCGAGGTCGGCTCGTGCCGGCAGCCCTGCGCGCCCGCCCAGCCCGCGGCTGGATGTCAGCTCTGACAGCTTCGACCCACTGCTGGCCCTGTACGCGCCTCGCCTGCCTCCCATCCCCTACCCCAACGCGCCCTGCTTCAACAACCTGGCCGAGTACGAGAGCTTCCTCAGGACCGGGTGCCGGGGCGGCGGGCGCGGACGGGCGCGGGGCGCGGCCGCGGGCTCTGGGGACCCCGCCACCGCCGCCGCCGGGCCCTTGGGCAGGACCCGCCGCCGCCCGGACATCCCCACCCCGGACCCCGAGCGCATCCAGCGCCTCCGCCGCCTTATGGTGGCCAAGGAGGAAGGGGACGGGGCCGCCGGGGCGCGGCGGCGGGGTCCGGGTCGGAGCAGGAAGGCGCCGCGCAACGTGCTCACGAGAATGCCCTGTGAGTCCGGCGGGCGGGGCTGGGGCCGGGCCAGCTGTCGAGAAGGCGGCGGCCCTGGAGGCGTTTGCGGGGTGATAGCGGCTTGGTGCGGGTCTGCGTGTATCGGGGGAGGGTCTTGGTGAAGGTTGAAGAGATAATCAGCGACTGTGGGGAGGGTCAGCTTGAGGAGTGAAGAAGGGTCTGTCTGAGCTGCGGGGGAAGAGTGGTAAGGCTGTGGAGGTAATAAATAGCCGTGGGGAGTGTCTGCTTGGATAACGTGAGTAAAGGTGATGGGGTCCACGGAACTGCCTACAGAGGTGATGAGGAGCCTGCAGAAAGGATCTGCAGGAGTGATGGGGGGTCCGGAGAGGTGGTGGGCCTGGAAACGGGACCTCACAGGTAGGGTTTGCAGAGGTGTTGAGGTCTTGGGACCACGCACGGTGCGGGGAGGGAGGGCATAGCCAATATTAGGGGTGGGAGAGTGCTTGGTCATTGAGATTTGGGGATGTTGGGATGCAGTGTGAGGAAATCTGTTCAGGTAGCACAGGAGACATGATCCCACAACCCCTGCACATTAGGTGACAGCTCGTTCTCAGTGCTGTAAGCAGGAGAAGGGCTGCAGGGTGTTGATATACCTATGTTCACATTAGCAAATCACGAGTCCTGGAATGCAGCAGGCACAAAATGCCAGTGAAGCACAGACGCTATTTTACGGCCACTCTGCCAGGCTGAGTGCAGGACTGTGTCTGTCAGGCTCATACTACCATATGCACAGGTTATTTCATGTTCTGAAGGTGTAAATGGCACAAGGGAATTTCTTGCGGCCTCCTAACAGATCCTTAGAGTAAAGCTGTAAAAAGCAGAAGTTGCTAATGTGTGTTAGGTCTTGTATAAATGGAATAAAAACAGCCCAGGGTTATATCTTTGTCATCTGGCAAGCAGTTCCGACATCTGCCCCATGGACACAATGACCTACTTAGCCATTCAGAGCATTTGTATCCTGATAGCTAAATCTTGGCATTATTAAATCACTGCCTTTGGAATGGAGGGTTGTGCTAAGCAAAGGAATATTTTGTTTCATTTCTAGAAATGTGTTTGTTAAGAGAGAAACATCCTGAAAAGCTGAGTGCTGTTAGGGGTGCCTTTGTCGGATGATTTACTGTGCCGGAGAATCCCTGCCTGAGCTAGGGTTTATTCCAGTTTGCTTGCTCAGTAGTGGCACAAAGATAGATTATGCATGTTCCTAAATTAAGAGCAGTTTGGGGGACCTTATTTTTCCCATACTTTTTGCCACTATCAGATCTTTGAAATGCACTCCAAGTCTCAGATTGTAGCATTTATTTCCATTTTGCCAATCATTGCTTTGCTTCCAAGATTTTCAAGAGGAAAGAAATATTTCTATGTGGTGGGTGGTTTTGCCTTTACCTGTGGAGCACTTTGCTATATTATTGGTATGAAAGTGGGGAGTTCCCATGATAAATATATGCCTGGAATCAAAGCCTCAGAATGTGCCCTCGGCACTGAAAATTTTAATCCCACCACTGGAAACACTTGGGTGTACATGGTAAAGATGAGTAGATAGCACAAAGAGTTGATGACCTTCAGAAAGCAAAAAAAGTACAGAAGCATGGGTGAGGATTAGATTTTATCAAGAAATAGTTCATGTATGAGGTCAGCTTTAGGCCTTGAAGTTAAGGAAGGGCATGGATGAAGATAACAGCAATAATTTTAAAATCAGACTATTGAGGTATAATTTACACATAGCAAAATTCACTCTTTTAAAGTGAGTTTTGACAAGTGTATGGTCGTGAAATCACCACCACAATCAAGATACAGAGCAAATCCGCACCAGAAAGTTTCCTCATGCCCCTTTGTAAGTCAGGTGGTAACTTTATTGTTGTTAATTATAGCTGCTATTATTGAGCCAGTATGTGCTATACACAGTGTTAAGCCCTTTAGATGCATTGCATCTCATTTTACCCTTGGATACACTTTTATACATGAGGAAACTGACACTCACTGAGTTCAACTTCTTGCCCAGCATCACGAAACTAGTCAGTTTGCCGCTCATCCTGGGTTGTCCCAGTCCAGGGGCTATATGCTTAACCATTATGCTAGTCTCAGGAGAGGAAGAATACATTCTAATGTTTCCTTCCTTGCTTTTTTTTTTTTTTGGTGGATGGAAGGTGCTGCTTATGTGGTTTGTGTCCAGATCAATGAGAACTGAATTTGGGTCCAGAAAGGGATTGGTAGCCAGGATGTTTTGAAGACCAAAGAGTTTTTCTTTGACTTTGTTATGAGAGAGAGTGGGAACCATGGTGTATGTTCTTAAGCAAAAGGCTTTGTAGGGCAAATGTTTCTAATTGCTGAGTTTCTAGTAGTAAAATGTGTTTGGGGAGGTAGAGTAGAGCACAGGCTCAGGGGCTTGACTGCTTAGGTTTGAATACTTGCTCCTCCACTTTCCAACTGTTTTGCTTTAAGCAAGTTACTTAAACTCTTTGGGGCCTCAGTTTCCTCATAAGTGAAGTGAGGACAATAATAGAATCTAGTTGTGAAGTTTAAATTAGTTAACACATTTAAAGGTTTACAATTGTAATGTGGCCTAGCATGTAGGGAAATACTCAGTGAGTGTTAAATGTCACTGTTTTTATTGTTGTAGATTGTTGTTGTGGTTATTATTAGTTTCAGACTGTCATAATTAAAAGCCCCAGGTCAGAATGCATATAACCTGCCAGTATTGACTGTTGGCTCAGCTGTTTACTAGGTAAGTAACTTTGAGCAAATTAGTTAAACCTGTTTGAGTTGTGAGGCTTAAATAATGTGTATAAAGTTAAACTTACCATAGGGCCTGGCCCATACTGAGGGCTCAGTAATTGGTGATAATGTTGGTGACAGTGATGATGATGCTGTTGCTGATGTGAAGGAGGGGAGCTGGGAGACTCTTGAAGTGAACCAGTTATCTGATGGGCCCTGGACTGTATTGTTAGTTGTGGAAAGAGAAAAGAAAGGGCAGGTCTTAATTATTGAGAATCTATTGTTTGGACTTAGTATTGGCTACAAGCAGGGAAAAATAAGAGTGGGGTTAAAAATGACCTGGATTTGGAAGTGTGTGGCCCAAGAGTAATGGCAATGGAGAGCGGGAATTGGAAGAATAACTTTTTCAAAGATAAGGCATATGTGTATGTGTATATATATGTGTGTGTGTGTATCTATCTATATATATATCTAGAAGCCTGGCTCATATCCATTTGGAGTTTGTCACAGACACTGCTGCGAAGAGATTCAGACTGTGCCTTCTGATTCAGAATGTGAAGTTCATTTTTGTCTTGGCGTTTTGCTCTGATAGGTGGTGCTAGTGTTGTATTTTTGATCACATAAGGAGAGAAATACTCCCTGGAATTACACCTTATTAAATCTTTGGAAGAAAAAAAATCAAAAGGAAAGTACACATGTGAGGGTGGAAAACCTGAGTTTGCCATTTAATTAGAATAAGAGACAGTTGTTAAGATACATGCCTGTTCTTCCTCTCTGATTTAGGGGTGCATGGGGAGAAGTGGTGCCCCTATTTTCTTTCAAGTTAGAAAAAGAGTGGTCTTTCCACCCTTTGTGGAACATACACGTGTATGGTGAGAAAGGGGAGTGAATGTGTATAGGTAAACGGAATAATCCAGGCATTGTGATCAGTTTCTAAGAAATTGAACTATAATGGCTTATTCCTTACATGACTCTAGAAGTTAACTAGTCTAACCTCATTTTATGAATGAGGAAGTTTGGGCTTATAGAGAAAAAGTTGTTCGCCAAGTTCACACAACTAGGTATAATGACCTAAAAGTTGTTTACAGTGCTTGATTTGACACTGTCTATAACACATATCCAGATATATGTACATACGTCTTTATACGTCAAAGGTTCAAAGAATTTTAAAACATGGCTAGAGGAGGGATAGGTGATGAGGATCAGACCAAGGTTCTCATGTTCCTTTCCAAGGCCACTGTTTCTGTCACTCTGCCTCCAACTATGCCTTCTTGCTGAACCCTCAATCTGAGGGTGCTAAGTCACTTAATCCAAGCATATCTTCTTGTGTTAATTTATCACTGCCATCATTTATAAGCCAATCCATGAGTGAGGGGTAAGGAGGTTAAGAGTAACCACCTTAGTTATCCAAGTTGAAGTGCAAGACTTTTGTTCTCTTTTATGCCACTAGAAACAAAACAGAGATTTTTTGTTTGTTTACTGTCAATGACAATAACTTCCAAAGAACTGTGCCTTGCAAACTTGGGGGGAAGAATGAGACTGTGTATGTGTGAGTGTGAATGTGACTGTGAGAGAGAGAGAGTGTGTGTGTGCACGCGTGTGCTCACGCAGTTTTTTTTAGGGAGATTTTATGTAGTATAGCCAGCATATTTTGAAGGCTAAGTTAACATGAAATAATAAAAATAAAATTCAGCCTTGCTCCCAAGCTCTGAAAATAAGAGCCCATCATAGTAAAAGCTGCAGTTTATAATCCCAGCATTCCTCCCATGAGTTGTCATACTGCTCTTTTTGTATGATGCTTATCAGCAATGTCATAAGAGTCAGATGCTCAGCAGGTGCCTTTATACCAGCAAGGCTTGGAATACAACCAGGCCTCTTCCTCCTAGTGTAAAGATGATATACACTGAAACACTAGTGGCCCCAGAGAGCTCGTGCATGAAGTAGCTCAGACTTGAGAGGCCGAAAGGCCATTATTTTTTAGACGATTGCATGTGTTTCAGGGCAAGTGAGTTACATGGTTCATTTCCTTTAAACCTATGACGAGGGTTTTTGTTCTTTGGAAGGCTCAAGCTGGATATGTGGTTCATGAGCTTTATCCTGAAAAAGGTTGTCTTAACAGGGCATAGAACTGAGAAGAATCTAGCTGCTGATGCACACATTTAATGTAGTATTTCTTTTTTTCCCAAAAAAGTTTTAAAATGATGGTGCCTCTTAGAATCAGTGACATCATAGAAATAGGGTAGAGAGGTAGTGAAGCATTTGGATGGTAGCCATACAGCTCGTTTATCCACGTTCCAGGGAATCTTGTTTCGATTCAGTGTGCATTGCCTACGCTAGCCATTTTGCCCACTGGGCCTTCCTGCTCCTGTGGCGTGGCTGACACTACACCGTGTTGCTTTGTGTTGCTGGAGATGGTTGGGTGGTCCTGGTTGTTAATTCTGGGAATGAGAGCAGGTGTTCATGCTGTGCTGACTGTTCTTCTTGTTTCAGTGCACGAAGGCAGCCCTCTGGGTGAACTCCATCGTTGTATCCGGGAGGGGGTGAAGGTGAATGTTCACATCCGCACTTTCAAGGGACTTCGGGGCGTCTGTACGGGCTTCCTTGTTGCATTTGACAAGTTCTGGAATATGGTAATTAAACCTTTCTCAAGGGGCTGGAGAACCTTCTAGGGATTAAATTTTTCATATATCTCAAGGACCTTATTCAGCAAAACCTCCAGAATAACTTCCCAGAGGAGGTAGAACCTTTGCACTCTCTTGGGCAATAACAAAAAAGTTCTTTTTATTGCTTTTCCCAAAGGCAGAGGCTTTCACCTGGAGTGATTTTGCCCATTCCTCCTTCCCAGGGACATTTGGCAATGTCATTTGTTTTGATTGTCACGACTGTGGGTTGGGGTACTACTGGCATCTAGTGGGGTAGAGGCCAGGGCTGCTGCTGCTGCACATGCAACAGTACATAAAACAACCACCCCCCCCCCCCCCCCCCCCCTGCCCAAAAACAAAGAATTATCTGGTCTAAAATGTTATTAGTGCCAGGGTTGAGAAATCTAGCCTTAAGGAATAATTACTTATTTCATCTTTTAGTAATTTTATGTTGATTTCCTACCAACTGTTTTTCATTCATTTAAAAATATTTGCTGACTTCCCACTTTGGCTGGGCACAGTGCTAGGTACAGAAATTTCAGAAAGGAACTTTTACTCTACAGCTTTCGGAAAGACAGATGTGGATAGAGAGGAAGCAGACATATTAATAAGCCAGACACTTTGCATAGTGTTTCCTTGTGAAGGAGTGTACCACGTGCCCTCAGTCTTCTAGAGGCTTACTGTCTATTTATTAAACATTTGTAGGAGAGAAGGGATATATTATAGCACAACTATGATATGAGGCAGTTAAAATAACTTTGATAATAATAATAGTTGCTAATACTTATTAAGCCCTTGCTATGTGCCAGATACTGTACTAAGGGCTTTATATATAATATCTCAATGAATGAGTTGTGGGTCTATCACTGTTTTATTTCACAAATGAAGAAATTGAGGCTAGCGATTTTGGAAGATTGGTCCCAGATCACACTGTTAGTAAGTGAAAGGACCATGACTTTATCCTTTCTGGCTTCGGAGACCATGTTTTAAGCTGTATGGAATCAGAAAACCTGGATTTGAATCCTAGCTTCACCATTTGGTAGCTGTGTGACTCTAGGCCAAGTAATTTCTCTGAGCCTCAGTTTTCTCATCTCTAAAGTGTAGGGAAAATATTTTATTATAATTTTACCTTTGAAGGAAAAGATTTAAAAGAATATATTTGATAACAGTGGTGGTAATCATAATACTGTCAGCTTGTATTTGTAGGGTGATTCACACTTTTCAAAGTAATTTCTCATACCTGATCTGATTTGATCCTAATAGCTCTCCTGTGAGGTTGATCTCTCCACAACAAGAATTCACCAGCAATTCTATGTGTTACCCTGGTTAATCTCTATTAATTGCTGTCATAAGACATACAGACTAAAAAGGGAAAAGCAGCAGTAGTGTTTCTTAACGTGTGGTCTGAGGCTGTCCTGCATCAGAATCATGGGGTTTTTGGTTCAAGTAGAAAGTTCCTGGGCTTCATCCCAGGATGAAGAATCTCTAGGAGGATAGCCTTAGATTTGTATTTTAATAAACTTCCTAGATATTCATGCTCCCTGAAATTTATGAACCTCTACCCTGCGTTGGTAAAGGCACCTTACCATAGGGGAAACCCATCTTACATGGTCATAGCCGCTTGGAATTCCTATTCAGAGGGTGCCACGTATTACCATTTGTTTCTGCCCAAGAGCTGAGTCACCTGTTAAGGTTAGTTCTGCTATAATTAGATGTTATTCTGCCTTTTAAATTTTTTCCAGAAAGCTATAAAAATAATATTTGAATGCTACCTTATTTTCCCCACTTTGGTCTGTTTTTCTCTAGGCACTTACTGATGTGGATGAGACCTACCGAAAACCTGTTCTAGGCAAAGCATATGAACGGGATTCTTCATTGACTCTCACTAGGGTAGGCAGTTTCCCCTGACTTTCTGAGTACCCAGCATGCTTTCAAGCTTAGGAATTAAGATCACTGAGCCCAGGGACCAGGGTTTCCAAGTGGAAAAGCTCTATTGCTATCAACCAGGTGTGCCTGGACCATGGTCTTCATTAGTCTCTTCCCATGCATCCAGCGAATCAAAAATGAGTCTGTGCTTCTTACTTGCATATTGTTTGAACAACAAGTTACCTCTTATAAGGTTTAAAAGTCTTTCAGTTTTATACCATAGAAAAAGTGGGTGCCTTTTCTCTTGACATATTTATTGATTTATCTGAGTTACGGCTAGAAATAGAAAATTCGTTACTAACTTTTTTTTTTTTTTTTTTTTTTTTTTTTTTTGGTACATTGGCCTCTCACTGCTGTGGCCTCTCCCGTTGTGGAGCACAGGCTC